TTTAGTATGAAGTCCAGAGATAGGATGTAGGTGGTTAAGTTCTTGAGGTTTCTGTTCATTTCTCCTTTGCTAAAAATCATGTAGGTCAGTATTATGGCACCGGAAGCCATTAGACTGACAGTAATGGAATGCAGACTCAATTATGTGTGTCTAACCTCCCTTGAGACACCAGATCCATTTTGTTCTAGTGTTAGTTCATATGTCCCATCTAGTTGTTGTCTTTTATTCCATCTATTAATTTCTATCATAACTGACAAATTAAATTGGTTAACTCCTTTGTATAGAATGTTGTTTAAAGCCATATATCAGCTAAAAAACAAATGGCATATATCATGTGAATAAAAAGATAGGATTATTTTTAGGATCCTCTCCTTTTGGCACTCAAACCTGTGCCCTTATAAATTCTAAGCAAAGAACTGATCCTTCCCTTTTTTGAAACAGAATCTCATGTAGGCCTGACTGGCCTCTAACTTTCTGAACTTCATCCTTGACATCCTGATCCTCTTGCTGAGATATGTGCTACTATGTCTAGTAAGATTAGCTCTTGGGATTGAACCCAGGTCTTTGAGTATGCCAGGTATGCACTCTACCAACTGAGCTACATCCCTATGCCTTTAAAAAGTGATTTCTACCACTATGTGCTTTATGTTCCAGGTAATACCCAAAGCAATCTCTTTGAATAAATACTTACTTACATCTATACTGCAATCTTCAGAATAATATCCAGCCAGTGCCTAATGTTCAATAGACCTAACAACAGCTGGGTGATTTGTGAATGATAATACAAGTCTTCTCTACCTAGTTTTCTTTCTGCTGCTGTACTAAACAACAGGAACACAAGCAACTTAGTGGACAAAGGAGTTTATTATACCTCACATCTCCAGGTTACAATCCCCCTTATCGAGGGAAGTTAGGACAGAAACAATGGAGAAATGCTGCCTGCTGACCCACCAACTGGCTCATGCTTGGCTAGTTTCTTATACAGCATGGACTGCCTACGTAGAGATAGTGATGCCCTCCCACATCAGTCATCAAGCAAGACAAGCTCCCACAGACAGGGCTACAGGCCCGTTTGAAAAAGGTAGTTCTTTAGTTGAGGTTCCTTCTTCCCAGGTGACTCTAGGTTGTGTCGGCTTGACAATAAAAACTAACTGGAACATTATATAAGGCTGTGTAAAACATTAGAGGATGAGAGAGTATTCAATTTATCCTCAACATGCCAATAATTTGCTTTATTGCCTTAGATTTATCTTGGTCCTTTGTGTCTCATGTTCTATTGGATACCTCAGTCACCAAGAAACTTAGCAGAATCATACATGCTAAGGCCCTGACTCAATTTAAAAAGCCAGGTCTTAATGCTGTGATTAGTACCTGTGGTGATTCTGATAAGTGCCAAGGATTGTTAATTCCTCTAAAAAGGAATAACCCATTGCCATGAACTTTGGGGAAGTGAAAGGATATGGACACATGACATAGTAATAGGAAAGAATCTCAAAGACATTTTACCAGCTGCATATATGTAGAGCTTGCAGTCCTCATCATTGAACACACACCCAATAAATAGAATTTAAGGGCCTGGCAAGGAAGGTGTCCCATCCTTCCTTGGAAATGCAGTAAGAATTGCATGTACTCCCCTGATCTTGAGTGGATCCGAATCAAATATTCTCTTTAAAGAAATTCCTATTGCATTTTCCCATGACCCAGCCAGGGTTTCTCAGTCTCCAGTTTTCCCAGCACTGTGTATCCCACAAACCTGCCAATTAAGCAACTGAATATCATTATTTCAAATGTAATTGCAGACAGTAATTATAAACTTGTAAATGCCTCCTGTGAATGGAGCCCTCTACCCAAGCCATCTCAAGTGTTTTTCTTAGGAAAATGGAAGGCAATCCTATTGCTTACCTTACCCCAAACATACCCTGCCTTGTGAGAAGAAACACCCTCTTGCTTACCCAAGGGACATGCATAACAAGCTTTTATGGGTTCTGCTTTGACACAGAATGTCCCATTGGGTGCACAGTCCTTAGATATTTTTCATCCAAGACCCAGATTCAATAAGGAATAGCAACTCCCTGATTTCTGCTTTTTTTTTTTTTTTTTTTGGTGGGGGGTGGAGTTAGGGCTGGTGAATTACTACCAACTTTTATAGTGCAAAAAAGATATGTTAGAAGCTTCTCAAAACCTTCTGAGAAGTTTAATATTCTTTAAGTTGAACAATTTGCTGGAGGATTTACTCCCTGAATATAAAAATTGGGAGAGCAGAAACTTCCATGGGTGAGCTTTCTCCAGGCCCATGGCTAACCTCTGCATTCAACCACTTAGTAGTTAGTTCACAAGAAACTTAAGTCCTCATGGATAATGGGTTCTTGAGTGAACTCTACACAGAAGTTTAGTGTGAAATGCAATACAATCTTGATGATCTCAACCTGTTGTTTCCTTTCAATGGACAGTGAGAATAAATGCCTGTAATTGCAGCAGTGGTGGGCATGCTTGGGAAGTGGAAGAGTTGATTCACTATGCAATGAATAATAACTTACAAACCATGAGAAAGAAGAAGTCCCTGTGCTCATTTAATCTGCCCAATGCAATGGCTCACACAGTCCTAAGCATGTAGAATTCCCAGTGCCTTTCCCTATATCAGAGCACACAGTGGGATGCTCCTACAGGACACACAAGCCACTTGGAGCCACAGTGCTTCTATTTACTAAGCAAGGAAATCCTGTGCTGGAGTCTAGAGAGATAACTCAGCACTTCAGAGTGCTGGCCCCTGCTCTTCCCAAAGACACAAGCTTGATTACCAGCACCCACACCAGGAAGCTCACAACTCCAGCTCTAGCCAACCAGATGAGGTCTTTTGGGCTCTGCAGCCACTTTACATACACACTCGTGAAAAGAAAGAGAGAGAAATAAAACTAAAATCATTTTCAGTTTTTCAGGGAGACACTGGAAGGGAAAGAGGAAGGGAGGGGAGGGGAAAAAGGAAAGGAGAAAGGAAAAAGAAAGAGAAATCCTGTGTGGTTGTTCACACTCTCCTGAATCGGAAGTGCATGGGAATGAGAACGTGAGAGTCAGAACAGGGACCGTAACTTCCGAAAATGACTTCTGACAGCTGACAACTTCAGATACACCATCCAGACAATCTCTGTTGTTGGTTCTGGTAGCTTCAGGAGTTCTATGGAAGCCCCAACTATGCCTAATTCCGAAATTTCACTTGAAATCCCCCATACCAAAGCACAGGCCGGGGTGGATTCGTCTCTGTAAGCACCAGGGATTCAACTGTGGTCTTTTGGTAATTTCAGCATAAAAGAAAGCTCATGCAGAAAGGATATGCCCTAGTGATAGACATGCACAAGGGCTCAATAACCCAGCGCTATCAAAAAAAAAAATTGAATTTAAATATCATACTTATAATTGTAGTCTTCCAATCAGTATATATTACTGGCTCCTAATTCTGACACATAGTTGCTAAGAATTGCTGGAAACAGATGACCAGGAAGATTGTACTCTGTGTGTGTATGTGTGAGTGTGGTGTGTGCATGTGTGTGTGCATGCATGAATGTGTGTGAGTGCAAGTGTGTGATATATGTGGTATGTATGAGGTGAATATGTGAAATGTGGGGGGGGTGAATGTATGTGTGCATGTGTGTGAAAGTGTGGTGTGTGCATGTGAATGTGTCTGTGTGAGTATCTGTGTGTGTTATGTGTGCAGTGTGTGCACGTGTGTGAGAGTATGGTATGTACATGTGTGTGCATGCATGTGAGTGTGTGTGGTGTGTGTAGGTGGTATGTGTGTATGTGTATGGTGTGTGAATGTGTGTGTGTGTGCATGCAGGAGTATGTGTGTGGTGTATGTAGGTGGTATGTGTGAGAGTGTAAATGTGATTGTATGTGACTGTGAGTATGTGTATATGGTGTGTGCATGTAGGTGTGTGTATATGGTGTGTGAAGTGTTTATGAGTGTATGTGGTGTGTGTGAATATGAATGTGGTATGTGTGTATATGGTGTGTGTCTGTGTGTGTGTGATCTTTTTGTGATGTATATATAGTGTGTATGGGTACATGTGTGTGAGAGTAGGGAGGTGAGTGTGTGTTCTTATCATTTTTATCCTCTACTTTATCTTCCTATATAGTAAAGACATTGAATAAGGTAAAAATTGACAATAGAGAAGATACTTCTCTATTCATTACGTAAATTCTATTTTTGCCCATTCTAAAGAACAGGCCTACAAACCCCATAGACCAAATGCTAAAACAAAAATTACTGATCCAGTACCCCGCCTAAGAGATGCAGGCTCATCCTTCTATCTTTGAGGCTCTTAATTTACCACACAGAAAGCATAAGTTGCCCCTTTTATGTGATTTCATGGCCAATTTGAGGATCCATTGAAAACACAAAACTTGCATGTAAATGATATGGATTTAGACTTGGGGGCTGTTGCTGCTTTTGTGTTGTGTTGTGTTGTGTTGTGTTGTGTTGTGTTGATGATGGCTCTTTCCCATCTCCTTAGTTTTGTTATTAGAGTAGAAAATGAACAGTCTGGCAGTCTCAGAATATGACCTCTTTTAAGTGTGCCCAACTTAAGTGACACAATGTCCCTCAGGTCAGTCTGTGATAAAACCCAAGTCAAACAAGGCCACATCCCGGATGTGTCACATCCTAATGATCTAACCTAAGGTCATGACCAGCCCTGATGCTCGAGACCTCAAATGGTCATCTAAGCAGTGCTATAAACTGGCATCATCTTGCTCTTGGGCCGCCCCTGTAGTGATGAGATTTGACATGCAGGAACTAGAGAAAAAGAGGGCATCCAGCTTAGGTGGCTCTGTGTCGAGGGCTAACAGCCTCAGCATGTCCTGACATCATAGTGGATGGAGGCGCATGTCAACCATGTTAGCCCAAAGGGACTGAGCAGCAACTGGCTTCCAAAACACAGAATCTCAGCAAAACCGTGGCAATACCTACAGTCAGTTATCTCATGGTTTCACTCTCCTTCCACCAGAAAATGGCCTTCCAGCCTGGGACAAACACAAGCCCCGTCCAGAGCGTGGACAGGACTGGAAGCTCGTAGGGATGTCCGAAGCCTGCCTGCACAGGAAGAGCCATGCGGAGAGGCGCGGAGCACTGAAGAATGAGCAAACATCCCCACACCTCATCCAGGCCACTTGGACGAGTTCTATATTCCATCTGGATCCGGATGATGTGAATGATCAGAGCGTTTCAAGTGCGCAGACCTTCCAGACCGAAGAGAAGAAATGTAAAGGTAACCCACTTCCTACTAGACCGTTTCCACACGTGTCTCTGCCATGACTGCGTTCCTCCTCTATGTCTTTGCCAGCCTAGTGTCGGCGCGTTTCCCTGGATCATCCTCCCTGCTGTCTTTATCCTCTACGTTTCTTTTAAGCATAAACAAGTGAGGTCCAAAGGCAAGCACTTCATGCTATGCCCAACACGGGGGTGGGGTGGGGGGGTGGGGGGGTCTTTTCTTATATCTTTAATGAGCAAACGTATTGTGTATTTGATCTTTAATTCTACCTGTAGCTGAGTGGAAACAGACACTGCTGCATTCGTAACTACTTGTTTTGTGGTGTGTTTTTAAGTGTGTGCATATGCATATGTTTCTTATCCCAATTACACCAATAGCTAAAGGGATTTCAATGCCTGCCTTTAACCTACATAGACAATTCATGCTTGACAGGGAGATTTTGACATGTCTTGTGGTCAGTAAATCCTGTGTCACCATCACAGAGAGAAGATTAAGGTGTTAGGCAGTTGTCACCTCATGAGGGAGGAGGTAGTCACCTCCAGAGGGGAAACAGAACCAGCCCAGGATCCTGATCACATGAGACTTAGTTGCTGTTCACCTCAGGCCACCCCACCTGACAGATGTCTCTGATGCTGATCGTGTTATGGTCTTAGGATTGCCCAAAATCTTTCCTACTTAAGCCAACCTATGTCTATAAGTGTCCAAGTCCTTGTAACTACCTATTCTTTTCCAGTTGAGAGTTTAAAAGCTAAAAAGGTTATGACTGGCTTTCTGTTTTATACTTTTGATTAAGTTTAAGTTGTCTCTTTGAAAATTGAAAACCTCACAATCAAATAACATCCCATATCGATAAATAATTAATAGGTGAGTCATGAAGAATCATACTCACTGCCCTGTCTTGAGCATGAGTCACAGTTACACTTATCATTCATTAATAAGAACCCAGGTCTTCCTGATTTTCTGGAAATACTTTAGAACCTCCATAACTTCCGGTTTACTCAGAAAGATCCAGTTTCTGAGGCAGATGTTTTCCCTTGAAACACATTATCCAAAGATGGCGTCCTCAGTTCGGACTGCAGCGAGGGCAGGAACACCATGTTCCTTTTGAAAGGTGATGCTTGAACTTCTGTGTTGATTATTTAGAAGTTTAAGGCTTTTTTTAATGTTTTAAATTGAAACAGAATTATACTACATCCCCTTCCCTTCCCTCCTTCCAGTTCCTCCCAGGCACCCTCCCTTCAGCATCTCCCATGTTCCCTCCCCCACTCTCAGGTTGATAGCTTATCTTCCTTTGATTATTATTGTGACATACATATGTGTGTATGTATGTGTGTATGTATGCATGTGTGCACACAAATACATAGATACAGCCTGCTGTGTCTGTTTTTGTTGTTTGCATACATACTGTTTCAGGGCTGACCAGTCCTCAGTGGATAACCAATAAGGGGACTCATACTTGGGCAATGCTAATTCACCTTCTCCCAGCAGTCATTAGTTGCCTATAGTCTTTGTCTAGGAGTGGGACCCTGTGGAATTTTCCCCTCCCACCTTACTATGCCCATTGATACAGCCATTATTATAGTCTTATTTATGCAGGCATTTCTAGGAGAGACTTTGAAATTTTGAAGAGAATATGTAGAAAAAATAGCAAAATAAGATTTTTTTCAAGGAAGTTGGGATGTAAAATGGGCACATCTCCAAATGTGCATGGGTATGCATGTACATATTTACTTGAGATACAATTTGGGTTTATAAGCAGATTGTGTCTTCAGATTTTATAGGTTGCAGTAAAACCTTGCCTGTTTTATAGCCAACATCCTCATGATTTAAGGTCCTAGTGAACTGAATTTGACTCATTCATAACTGGTGCCCAAATTCATTCATTCACAGAGAGCTGTCCCTATTATGAGGAATTCTGTTCTTAGATATGCAGAGTTCTAAACATTAAACATGCAGTTTTTTTGAAATATCTTGACAGTAAGAGGGGGTGGGAGTCCCAGTACACAGGATGCTGAGGTAGGAAGACAGCAAATCTGAGGCTAACTGAGGTTAAATATGAGATACTGTCAAAAAAGAAAAGACAAGTTACAGTACAGTGGCTAAGAACACAACATTTTGAGATGGACACATTTGGACTAGGATACCAGCCTTCCCACTATATGTTTAGGGCAAACATATAAATGCTATGTTGATAAAACTACAAAAGATAATGTATTTAAACACTCAGCACAGTGCCTGAGTCGCACTGCACTTAAAATAGCAGCTACCGCTTTCCTGCTGATCATTATTGACTATACAGCCTAAGTCACACAAATTTCTTGAATAGCCTAGCAAGGAATGGAGCTATGGGAGTTTAACAAATGAGGATGGGTGGATGGGCTGTTTTATGAAGCTCAGATCTTCTTCCAGCTCCTTTCCCTAAATCATTCAAGTGCATTTTCATTATTCTGGTATTGAAAGAAGAACAACAGAGGCAAACTTTGTGAGGTTTCCAGAGATACCGCCAAGGTTCACTTTGAGCTGGTCATAAAACAGTGCCCTGATTCAGTATGGAAATGATATCCAATGGCTGGAGTCACAAAACCCAAGAATCTACTGAAGTAAAGTTCCCTCGTGTTTTAGCACACTGGTGAGTAATGCCCACATTTCCCTTGGGAGTTGTTTCTTCTCCATCAACTCCATTAATCTGCTATGTCTATAGAGTCCATAAAGAAAGTGTTCTCTGATGGCCATTCGTACTGGGCAATTACTTCCTGGCTGGCTACCACTTTTAAAGCAGCTGATGCTCTGGCCTATTCTTGCATGCATTTATCTTCTAGTGTTTGTCCAGGGTTTATTGTGTTCAGGACTTTAAGCTTAATGTCTAAGCATGAAGAAAGAGCCTTTGAGCTGAAAGGGCATTTTATTAGCCTCATCCCAAGCATCTCAAATATAACTGAAGAGAACCACATAGCCTTGAGCCATATGCAAAGGCTATCGTGTGCTTCAGTGATTCAAAACAATAAATTGACTGCTTGAAGCTGCACAATATGCCCGTTCCTAGATTAGTGGTCTATCACAGCTAGACCAGAAAACTTCCATGCATGGTTTGTGAGCTGCAAACTAATCATTGTCGCTCCCTGGTGATGCAACATGAGACATGGAGGATGAGCTTCAGAAACTTTCACAGCTCTTTATCATCATCACCCACAACCCAGACGCATCATCAGTGGCTGCCACTCACTGAGCCAGCACACACCAGTTTGGTGCTGTCAGACTTGCTTGATCAGCCACTTGTAGCCGGAACTTTGCCAAAGTCTTAAGCAAGTAAAGGAATGTATCGGTCTATAATGGGTGGGGTTTCTTAATATTCTTACTTCAAATCATTTGGGAACCATGGACTTGTATGTGTGATGCTCTTAAATGTATTTTGCTTGAAGCTCACTTGGGGCTTCTACCTCATATTTTAAGTAGTGCATCTGTGTGCCTTATTAGCTATATCCATGCTAAGTAAATCACCTGATGGCTGATACACACCCTGGAGTCCCCTCACATTCTGTGTCAGATACCGTGCCACCCCCTCGCTTCCCAGAGTCCTAGTTGATTTGTTCTGTGCTCAATGTGTGCACACCGGACAGTGGTGCTAACAGTAGTTCCAGAAGACTTATTAGAAATGAGACTCTAAACTGGGTGTTGTGACTCTCTCTCTGGAACCCCAGCACCCCAAATGCACCACTAAAGAAGGAGGACAGTGAGTCTGAGGCCAGCTTGGACTACATAGTGAGACTTTTACTAAAAGGACCTACTAGAGGGAAGAAGAAAAGAGAGTGTGAGGTCCCAGTTGGACTTTCGAGTTTGAGTGTCTAGAGTTGAATGAAACCTAGAATCTGTGTTTTAATTGACCCTTCTAGTGACCCTTTAGACCATAGTGTCCCCAAGCCTTTGAGATAGTCATAAGCAGTCAGGGCAGGAAAAGGCCTGCCACCTAGTGGGCACATAGGGATATGTCTGTCCCTCCATTCCCTACTGCCCTAGGAACCAGCTGGCAATCCCATCTTGGGGACACATTGACCCTGACAGTATGCTCACTCACTCCCTGTGGTAACACTCCATTTGGGCGATAAATCCCTTCTGGAAAGCCCCTACTGCAGGATTGAAACTCTGATGCCTTCTGCCCACCCAGGTGCCCCTAAACATCTGTTGGGAATCACAGAGTTCAGCAAGCCCCAGAAGGTTGATCACAGATAAGTAGGAGACTGGTTCGAGCTAGACCTCAGCAGCCCACTGAACCCAAAAAGTGGGGCCTCCACAGTAGCCAGGAGCTTTCTGGAAGGAGGCATAGGGGCTGTTGGGATGACCATCTGGACTGAGGCACTTCCCTGAACACTGTTGCGAGGACGGCAGCAACCTAATAATGCCACTGAAATTTCTCTGTAAATCTGCACCATGCATCATGATGTTAAAGCAGATGAATCTCAGAGTCCCAGAAGGGGAGAAGAGAATATTTTAATGCATCATTTTATTTCATTCTAAATGCTCTCTGTATGGTTTTACAGTGAAAAAAATGAAAATTTCATTAAGTTGTAAAATTACAAATAATTTTTTAAAATTATTTTCCCATTTATCAAGGACAAATACTATTACAATATTCTCACATTTTCAGTCCTTTCTTTTCTATCTACTTCTTCATAAACTCAGGTCATCTGAGGCGCATCATTTGTGACCGGCTTTTAGTGCTAAGCCATAGGTCATCAGCATTTTCCCTTGCCAATAAAATATTCTAGTGAATACTGACGTTTATTGGAAATAGGTTATTCTTTCTTGTAACTAAAATATCATTTTTTAAAACCCTTCCCCAAAGCTTAGACAATCTAAAGTAATTTTAAATAATAAAATTTATTATTTAAATAATAATAGAGGGAAGATTGTTAACCCATGAACAGGTGACTCAGATCAACAATACCACTTTGAATGATTTACTTGCTCTCATTCACTGAGATAACAAAGTGCCCTGAAAG